ACAAAGCAGCAGAACTTATTTTTTCCATTGTTCCAGCCTTACAGAAGAGAAAGGGAGGGGGATGGTCAGCATGGCCACCGCTCCTTCAACCCAATGTTTTCCAGCAATCCATGCCAGGTGCTTCTCTCCCACTGACTTCCAGTGGAAATGCCCATTCAGCTCTACCTTGCACCAAAATAAACAAATAAGAAATGCTCACACCTACAGCCAGCCAGCACACCCAACACAAAATAGCACCACAAAAAGCCCTCAGACCTCGTGGGAGCTCGAGAGTGCCAGGTCAGGTAGGAGACAATTTCCACACTGAGAAAGCTCTAAGAGACAAGCCGTGAGCTGATAAGAAACTGGGGATCCTGAATAATAGTTTCCAGGACAAAACTCAAATACACTGAGCCAATTTTTCCTCATGTGCTATGACTATACATATATATTTTTATTATTTTTTTTATTTTTTTTTACATCAGATGTGAGTTGCCATGGAAGGGTTTAACAAGGTACATCTCCACTGCCTGGAAAAGGAAGAGAGACAAGAGATGGAGGAGAGGCTCTTGACTTTCTACAGAATATGAACAGAGCACTAGGGGAAAGAGAAAGAAGAAATCAAAGCACCTTCGTGTATTCCCCAGTAAGAATAAAAGAAAGCACACAGCACTTCTGCAGACAAGGCTTATCAGCTTATGGAAAGGTAGGAGTAACAAAAGGTGAAGCTTTCCAGTATTCACTTGCCTCTAACAGCTTTCTGACAACTCTCAGGTACAGCTGAGGAGTGAACATCTTTTCATCTGGGAGGCAACCAAGGCATGTGGTCTTTCCGAGGCAGCCCTATGTTCCCACAGGCAGGAGATGCTGGGAGCTGGCTGCCTGTACACTGTTGCATTTCAAGTCTGCACTTTGATAGCCCTATGTTTTCCTTTGCAACTGTATTTCAAGTCTTGGAGACTTCTTTCCACAAGGTATCAAGTCAAGTGGAGCAACATTGCAGCTCCATATTTATAATCCAAAGCACACTGCATACCTACATCAAGCTGCTTTACTCAGTTGGTCTATCAAACACCTAAGAACACGGAAAAGTCCCTTTTGGCATGCATTTCTGGCAAAAAGCAGGTAAACGGAGAGCCAACACAAGTTCAGAAAAATTCAGTACCCTCTGGAGTTTGCCAGCCTCTGGCGTCAGGCAAACCCTGACAGCCCCCTTCCTTCGTGCAGCGTTTAAAGACCTGATGTACAGTCTGTGCCTTCAGGGGACCCTCCCATCCAGCAGCCACCCAGTATATCACGAGGACACGTTCATGGGTGGTGACAAAACAGGGAGGTAAAGCAGGAAGAGCCCTTGTCACTATTCTCATTAAACACAAAAGAATTATTTTCAGCCTCCCCATCTCTGCCGTTGCCCCCTCTGTGTGTTAAAAAGGCCCCAGTGCTGTGACATCAAGGAAAGCACTGGGTGCTGACTGCACTTCTCCAGATGTAGCAGCCCTCAGGCTGGCACAGTTACCTCCTCCTGAGGATGCTGGCTTATCACTGCCATGAATTAACTGCAGCGAGGCACTGAGAGACCAAAAGGCTGCCACCCGTAATGCAAAGCTACCTAAAGCTACCAGCACTCCCACTTCTCACAGAAATATCTGAAGTTGGCAGCCGTGGCTGAAAAAGACAAAGGACTCAGGCAAGTATATATCACAAACCTGCAAAGAAAACATGAAACTGTTTTATCACAGCTAAGTCTTGAACAGTTTGAGCTTCTTTTCTGTTACATTAAAGTTTAATTTCCCAGAATAGGGCATCATGCATCGATGAAACTCATCTTCCTGGAATTTGCGTTCAAATATGTTTTGAATATTTGCAGGCCAGCAAAACAACAGTGAGGATGGGGCAGAGCTCCATCGGCTCATTGTGGCCCAGACCTGATTAATCCCAGGAAGGGTAATGAAAACCAATCTTCCGGGCCATCTACCACCAGATTCTTTGGCTGCAGCTATCCTTGAAGTTTATGTCAGTGCCTGTGACGGTTAGGATTTCAGTGATGAGGACACGTGGCTCTAATAGAAAAAGGTCATTTTAACAGGAAAAAATAAATAATATTTTTCTCTTAGGGTTCCCCCCACCAAAAGCTGATTCCTGTTACTGTCTGTGCTGTGGCTGGGCCCCACAGCCAGCATAGGTGCAGCCACCCTCAAAGAGGAGCAAACAGGCAAACCAACGAGGTTTTGGGGTGTACCCTTCTCTCATCACTTTAGATTTTTGTTGGAAAGGAGAAGAGCAGGAAGCAGCAAGGGGCTGGCCAGGCCTTTGGAGAGATTTACAGGAGGAAGAGTGGTTACAGGCCAGGCACACACACAGCAGGAGCTCTTAGAAGGATACAGAAGCCAGAAGATGATGCTAGGGGTGACACCAGGGTGATGCTACAAGCCCTGTCACAGCACCCACTAGGTTAACAGCCCCACCCTGCTCTGTTCTCACCTTCCAGGTGGGAATGGCTCCGTGCAGTGACTCTCAGCAGCTCAGCAGCTCCTGCAAAGCCCCCGTGCACCATCCCAAGGCACAGGACCAACCACCACTCCAACAACACTAGCAGTGCAGGTGCCTCAAGAGCTACAGACCACCACCACACACCCCCTTCCTGAAATTTCTTTCACCATACACCCATTTTTCCAGGAATATATACATGTATATTTTTAAGAAATCTCTGGCTAAGGTCAAACAGTTTAGGTCTGGATTTTGCCTGCACTTGGCTGGCTCTGCTGAGCATCTATCATGCTGACGGAGGGGTGTAGCTGAACAAGGCACAAAGAAGCTGCAGCAAACAAGCGCTGCATTCAGCTTAACAGCTCATCACACCCCAGTGCTGCTCTCTGTGACAACTCTTACTGCAACACACGCGCTGTGTTCACTGGGATGCCTCTGTGCAAAGCCTCAGAATGGGAAGACAGGCCTGGGATCTGTTCCCTCAGCTTTTCTTGTGATAAAAGATCAATTAAGTTAACTCTGCAATGCACACGCAATTATAAATTTGGCATGAATCACAGAATTTCTAGGTTGGAAGAGACCTCAAGATCATCATGAAGTGCCTTGAGAGACTCACTAGTGGTAGCTAACTAGTCAGTTTATTTCTCAATCACAGCTAGGTTCTAAGAGGGGAAGAAAGGGAAAAATACAGGAATGGATCTGGGGGACAACTTCAGAATAAACAGATAAACCTTATCCTAAAAATTCCCATTGGCAGTTTGAGCTTCCTCCTAGCAAACAGAGGTAAGGAGCTTTTATTATCTTTGATTTGGATGCTAAATTAAGAAATAACTCTAATGTAAAAAAACACTAGGACCAAGTCCCCAGCTGAGAAAAATGGTGATGTTCCACTCCTTACAACACTGTATTACACAACAGGATCTGGAATTCAACTCATGATCTCATGTGGTGACTGGCCCCTCAATCAAGACTTTGCAGTACCTGCTAAAACAAGTTTAAAATAAACAAAAAAACACGTAGTTTGCTAAACAGAATAGGAGGTGATGTATGCCCTTATCTGTCACTGAAAGAAGAGGAAGCTCAGCTGAAGAAATCCATGAGCAAAGCAGAGCCCCTGACATGTAATAACAAAGCACAGCCAAGGTTGCTCAGCAGCGAGCAGGATCTTTGCAGGGAAGTCCTCTGCAGAGGTCGTGCCTGAAGCAGAGCTCTCAATGGAGGGTGTTTGTGGGACAAGCACATGTCCCAGCACAAAAGAAAATTAATAGAGGTGGGGTATTTTTTTTGTTGTTGTTTGAATAACTTATACTTCTGCATTACTTGAAAGACACAGCACTGTGTGGTGACCCTCACTTTTGCGATATCATTATCACAGACTAATTTGTCATAGCATACCAAAGCAAATAGTCCAGTATTATCCTATATAACAAAAGCTTTTCTGCTTCTGCCAAGTCCTATGTATTTTTGGGATTGATGCAAACAGCAAAATTACCATGGATGTGGGCAGTGGTCTGGATTATTGTGGGACAAGAGCATGATAAATCTCACACAGATGCCAGCAACTTCCTCAAAAGGAAAGTTTCCAGTGTAATATACCAAACATACAAGTACCTCCTCCTGATGTTCTACCCCTAGGACTAAAAGGAAAGACAATCCCGATTGAAATGAAAATCCTTACACACAAAACTTGCACCTTGAATGTTTTCTAAAATGTACCTAATAAAAAAACAACCCAGCAGTCAAAGAAGCCAGAAAAAGTGCTACATAAGATGTACTACAAACTCTTTTGAAGTTAGCTGTGCTGCATAATTGCAGTCTGTATAGCTTATGCATACACTGGATATAGATCAGTGGATAGTGAAGCACGTGTATGCATATCTAGGTAAATCATTATCCACACCCTGGTGCTTCAAACAATTCTGTTGAAACAAAGGCACTAATTAGAGATAATTAGCACAGAACAAGTTACCTTAATTGTCTGGTTCTCATTCATGCATTGTCACAGGCCAGAAGCTATCATTACAGGACAGTGTCTAAGAAGGTCAAGAGTGAGGTTCCTGTTTGTTTAATTATTACCAGCTCCTCGTTAATGGATGTAAAGGCACGCATACACAGTGCCCTCTCTGAATATCCTGCAGTTGTATGGAGAGCACGCCACAGCACAACATCTTGTGAGTGGCTAAAAACCACTGTCAGCTAAATCTGCCCAAACTTGGGCTGGGGGCTATGCATCTTAGGAATCTCGTGCTTCTGGACAGGTCCAATCACAGAGCAATCACACATACACAAACAAGCAAGACAGGAGGCAGTACCTGTCCGCTCTGAACACCAAAGGATCCATCCATCTCACCCACTCTACAACTTGCCCATTTTGCATATTAAGTGGGAGAGACAGGCCATTGATTTGATCCATGCTCAAAATCTTACAAAACAAGGAATTTCACATCCTATTGAACACTGGCACCACTGGGCCTTTGCCTTTAAAGCTGGTCATAACCTGGGTCAGCTCATGCCCAGCTGGATCAAGTCCTTACCTTCTTTTGAACCAGTGGTGACAGCAGCTGCAGTCGTCCCCGACGCTCGTCCCACGGGGCTGGAGTGCTTCCCTGCCCTGCCGGGGATTTTAAGTCCACTTGGCTTCAACATATTTGCTGCCTCTTGTATGTCAGACTAGTATCTCCAGGGTTTCAAATGCTGTCCTGATATCACCGTTCAGGCTTCTCGATGATGGACCTTCTCTTCCATCGTCACAGACCTGTGGGAAAAGAGAATAAAGAGATCAGAGAATGTGTGGGAGGGTATCAAACAGGCTTCCAGAGAACTGCGCAGCTCTGGTCACATCCCTGTGAGAATCAGGCAAGTAGGCTGACTTTTTTTTTAATCCAAAGGGTGATAACTTCTTTTGTCTCCCACTTTAACATTGCGTTCTTTTCCTTAACCTTGCTGTCCCACTTTAACCCTGGAGACACAGATCAAAGCAGAAACCTCACAGAACCACTACACAAGTATTTAAATTCTGCTTCAGATTCAAGTGACTAAAATTGTTGACTTGGTTTAGATTTCAGAGTCTCATCCATTAGCCAAGACCTAGTTCTGCTGCTCTGTGAAAGCAGCATAAGAGCCTCCAAAGGCACCTTACAACTCCCTGACACTAGGCCTTTGTTGCATGGTCCCCATTTTCACAGAACTTCAGGGCAGCCTTCCCAAACTGATAGGAGGAAGAGGGAAGAGGCCAGTGTTCATGACTGGGCTGTCAGCTCCTTTAAGGATAAACCTAAAACCGTGTTACAGAAAGTAAGGATTTAGAAAACAAGCATTTCCCTCTGCCATTCCCTTCCCAGTAAGCAAATGGAATAAGACCTCAAAATGCACATAGCATTAACAAGCACACAATTCCTCCAGCAAAAAGTTGGGTGATGAAAAAAAAAGGAAAAAAATAATAAAAATAAAGGAAATTACTAGGCTACTGAAAAATGGAAAAAAAAAAAACATTCCTAAAAAGGGTAAAGTAAAATAATCACAAAATTGAAACTGTCAGCAAAAAGGAAGCTCAGGTTCCCTGACTAAGCAGGCTGGGACATGGATAGAAGAAGGCGGCACAGAAAAGGGAGCTGGGGCAGCAGCAAAAGCAGAGGGAATTGCAAGGAGAGAGCACAGGGAGCAGCCCGAAGGCAGGGGACACCCTGGCCTGCTGCCTAGGCCAAGGAAGGAGGCAGAGCCATGCATGCAGCTTCTGAGACATTGCTGACGTAGCAAGGACTTGCAGATGCTGCGAGGGGGGTTTGCAATAGCAGGGCCGGGAAGTGATTAAGGCATGAGTAAGGACTTCAGGGCAGGCCGGGTCCGAGCGAGGGGGCTGGCAGGGCTCTAGGGAAAGCTGCAGGCAGACACAGGGGAGGAGAAACCACAAGGAGAATTCCAAAACTATTCCTGAGTGCTCACAAAACCGAGACACCAGAGTGTTTCTGCAATAACAGTCATGTAGCAGCAGCTTGAAGAGACAAGGAAGGGAAGAATCAGGAGCAGAGAGACCAGGGAGGGACCCTGTGCGAAAACCCAAGGGATCAGGCCCCAGCTCTTCCTCACGCCCCCTCCACAATGGGTGTTCAAAACCTGGGGCGGCTTCAGACACCTCCAGACCGCACCAACTTGGGAATATCCAGCTTACACAGGAGTCAGGGCCACTTGGGTGCTGAGAGGATCCAAACAGATCAGAAACAACGGCCAAGAGCAAGCAGCTTGTGTTAAGGAAGATGCCACTGAGCCAGCCAGGCCCAGGCACTGCCACAGAGCTGCACACGAGGCTGCCTGCAGTCCCCAGCTCAATTTAGTATGAAATAAGGAGATAAATATGTAACAGAACCTGGGGGTGAGAAGCTCTGATCGTTACAAAGGGTGATGTACTCTACCAAGAGATCTCGCCCACCTCCACCACCTCTGACTGAAGGTATTGCTCTTCACAATTCAGCCTCACCCCTGCTTTACACATCTCATCGCCTCATAACCTTCCAGTTATGGGGTTTGATGCCGTGTTTGGAGTAAGAAGGCTAGGGATGCCGCATGTCCCATATAAAAGTAGGGGCTAGTTGAATCCACAGCCAGGGATATAAATGGGGGGGGAGGATAGAACAGCTGTAGGGAAGAAATTTAATCAGGGAAGTGAAACAGGAATAAAAAAAAATCTTACAGTTTTTGCAGCCTTTTAGATGAAGAGCCTTAATACATTAGTTTTGCAGTGCACAAACTTTAGGAAGACAGTGAATTTAGCTGTTCCTCTATTCCACTCCTTTTCTATGAAGAGATGGGAACTTGATTCAGTTCATTCTCCCTCCATCCGTCATCATCCCTGACGTCCCTGATTATCCCAGCTGGCCACACAAGTCACCGGATATTGTTCTGCTCCTTCTCAGGATGACTGGATTTTATTTTTATGCAAGGGGGAGAGAAATAAGAGGAAGTGCATTCCCACGGCATGAAAAATTCTGCCAGAAACGTTTAAGCAAACACATTTGCTTTCAACAGACTGATGCTGAAAAACAAATGAACTCCGCAGGCTGCTAATTACACTACCCTCCGAGCAGAGAGCTTCTATTATTCCACCATACAGTCACCACGATAGGGCACGTCTGGACTCACTAAGGGCTCCGTGCCACACACCAAATTCAAGGAGCATCTGAAGCACCAGCCTGCATCGCACCCAAGTACCCTGGGCCTGGTTATGCTCAATGCCTGTCGATTCGGACAGAGTGTTGGTTCGTAGGAGTCTGATGTGGGTTAAATGTGGTTAAATCAAACGTCTAAAAGTTGCCTTCCAATCTGCAGTAGCTGTAGCCAGGAAACAGGGTATGTAGGTTATGAGGTACACCTGCATGCTCACACTATCACACAGAGAAATGAGGATGGACATTTTCCAGTCTACACACACTGCTATGCACAGATATTCCCTCTCCGGCCCTAGTTCTCTCTACACACACTTCTACACATGAATATATGAGCAGATTTTCAGGAAGCCATGAAATCCGGGCATGGGGCTCTTCCAAATTACACTGTTAGCTCATCTTCACCAGCCAGGGCAGCACTGCCCCCAGCCAGCCAAGTCCCACATTAACTCCCAAGCACACAGTGCAGCTTTCGGGCTGCAGAAATATCCTAGGCCTGGGACGTAGGCCAGTACCTCCACAGGGCACTGTCCTGCTCCATTAGAGACTACAACTTGCTCTGAGCTCCTGGATTACATCCACAGCATCCCACCAGGCTCTGTTAACGGTATCCTGAAAGATCTGCCTCCAGCAGCAGATGCTGAGCACACACAAATGCACTGCCGCATGTGACATAAGAAAAGATGGCTTTGTTGCTTCCCTATTCCTTACATTACCAACAGAAGCCGCAAGTTTACTATTCCAATATAACTTCATGGAAATGGGACTTTCTCCTGACACAAGGTTAAAAAAAGCCAACTGTTCCTGTGGAGACTCCAGGGCCAGCTTACGCTGTTTTTCTTCATCTTCTTCAAAGATGAGGCGGACTACAAAGATCTTCTAGATCTGTGCTAGATTCTTCCTGCAATCTTTTCATACCAGGATGAATGGCTCTGTCTGTTCCCACAACCAAGAAAAACATCCCAGGAATGCACAATATGAAAGCCTGCTTCAAATGACCAAAACATTCTGTTCCCCATCCTTCCATCAGAAAAGGGGACAGCCAAATCTGAGTCACCTAGGCTCAGATTCAAACTGGAGAACAGCTCTCAGCTAAGTACAGGAAGGCCTCAAGAAAATACCTTTCACCAGAAGTAATATGTCTGGATACACAAAGTCTCCACAAAACTGGCCAGCATCAGGACAGCACACAAAAACAGAAAAGCAATTGGAGGTTTTTAGACATCAGCTACTCCTCAAATAGGGTAGAGGAATAACAAAACCGGGGTTAGAAGCAAAAGCCTTTGTCAGTTTTGGCAATAGTTTGTCCATAATTTCTCTCCTTTATCTATCCCTCCCTACCTTCAATACCATGCCACATGCAATACCACCCAATTCAAGAAGGGAAACCAACAAAGCATGCCCCAGATTCAATGCACTCCCTAAAAGGAAACCCTCATGGGTAAATGACAGCCTAAGGATCTGTTCACCTCACCATATTGAATGAAACAACTGCAAAACACAGGAACAAGTTTACAGACACCCGTCTGAGTTGGCCTGAATCCCATCCTGTGCCTGGTGCTTCCTCCTGGATGGATCCAGAAGTGTTTGCCCAACACAAAACCCTAGGCAAGGCACTGGGGCTCCGCTCTGAAAGCAGGCCCACGTGGAGCTCAGACTGACTGTAGGTGAGCACTGCTCAAACAGATGAGCGTTTACAACATTTTGTAGAGAAATATGGAGTTGTTTTTTAATTAAATATTTGGCCAAAAGCCTAAGTGCCAAAATTTAGGTTTCTAATTTTTTAAATTTGTAAGATTTCATTTATTGCATGTGAATTTAAGTTTGCAGTCAGTCACACAGACACCTTGTCAGGACCAGGACCCATAAAAAAGATGAAGTACCTAGTAAGCAGACTGAAGGAAAGCAAGGTTGTCACACCGCATGGAGGGTTAATGACAAGCAAAGACACCGCAGAGCAGCAGTAAAACACTTTTGCTTAAAAACAATCTTGACTCATGCTCAATCCTGAATCAGTGTCTTAAAAGACAGCTATTTGGACAGAAAAAGGCTTGCACAATAACGTCTTCCTGTTTTTACCTACTCCCATCTAAGATAATATTTTGTGATGCAATTGTTTGTGCCCTCGTTTAAAACACTAAGCCAGCTTTCCTCACATGCATGCTGAGGATGAGGAACACCAGGGTTTTCACACGCAGCCCTGCGGGAGTATGCCTGCAAGTAGAGAGAACACAAGAAGAGTTTCAGCCATTTCCAGGGCTACTATAAAATGATGTGGTGGTGTGGCTGAATTTGCAGAGACCCTTACATTAATAAGGGAGACAAAGATGGGGAAGTCCAGGAATTCTGTCCGCAGCTGCTCTGACAATGTAATAACAGCGACTCCATATGGAGAAATGGAAACTGTATTTTATGATTACAAGGTAAATCCCCATCCTCTACAGGAAGGAAAAACAATCCCACATGCTGCCACACAATGTGTAGCAGAGTCCAACAGCACTCTGGTTTGGACGCATCCTTTACACGTATATTCAGGAGAGTTAAACAAAGGGACCTAGTTTTCTGCCCAGGTCCTGGCTTAGTATTTCAAAAAAAG